GCTGTATAACCGACAGCCACCCGCCGGCCGCGAGCGAGCGTTTGTAGCCCTGCAAAGTGCTATCTGGCTAACCATCTCACTGATCCTTGGCCCGAGACGACGAGCTTCACGCGGGGTGTGAGAGGAAAGGCGAGAGCGGGGTAGTAATGGGGTGGTGGTCTCTAAGTCACGGATAGCTTGAAACAACACGAACTTCAAGTTTCACGTTTTTCATGTTTCACACATATACTGTATTTATAGTATTGCGCCTACCAATCTCAAATTTCTTCTATTGTGCAGGCGTTTAAAAATGCATGAAATAAACATGCTTCTTCTTTCTATCGCGGTAATATTGAATATTATATATACTAGAATATCAAATAAGAAATTTACAAAAGAACAAAAATATTAAGAAAATACGAGAAATTAAGAAAAGAATGATAAGATGCATTATATTTATAATAAGATGTATTACATATACGAGGTATTACTTATACGAGGTAATTCATAAATTTAAAAATTTTAGTGTAAATATAGAAAAATTTCAATATTATTACCACTGGTGGGAATACTTCTCTTAAAAATATTAATGCAGAATTAAAACAGAATTAAACTTCAAAATATTACATCGCCTCACCCCCTACATCGTTGCAAGGCATCTAAAGGCAAATATTTGCGCTTTAACCGATTTAAAATAATTTAAAAATACGTAACACAATTGAGAGAAAGATCCGAGAAGCACCGAGAACGTTATCTAAGCTAATTATCGCTTCTTGGTGCGAGACAAAGTATTAGCGAAAAAAATGGAATGTATGGTGGAAAGGTGTAAGAAGTTACAGAAAACTTAAATCGCGCGTGTCGAATTCCGTGGGCAACGATTTCCGTCCCTCCAATGTCAGCGAATACTCAGAATACTTTGGTTTATACTTTGGTTACTCTTCCGGTTCGCGTGATCTCCCCCGAGCTTCATCGTTTCGCATCGTTTCTCATGGGATCACTCGATGAAAAGGCATTTCGCGAGGGATGGCACCGCCGCTATCGAAGGACGAGTTCCTTAAATCGGCGATATTTTTAATCAAAGAAGCGCGTTAGTTTGACAATTTCACAAGATCGGAAACAATGATATATTAATGCAACATGATATTTGTTGCCAAATATAATTGAAAGGTCTTAAAGTGCTTCTTAAGAAAACAAAAAACAGATGTTTATTTGACGCACAGTTCTTAATTTTCTTAATTATAAGAGGTTTTATCGGAAATTTACAATATATCCTAATTCTATGTAATATATAAACTCTTTTTTAATTCTAAACTCTTCTCTCAGTCTCTTTCTCTCTCTGAATAAATACCAGCCTTTATTTATCATTATTTCAAAATTTTTAAGAGCATTGTATGCTTAGAAATTATTTTATCCGTACACGCGTATAGTTAATATATTATTTTAATATTTTTTACAGTACGTTGCAATCAGTTTCATAATAAACGATATACATATCTATTTTTAAGCACGTGATAAAAATTTTTCATTGACTGCGTGTGACGGTTACATGACGCTCATACCCATTGCACTTACATAACCGAAAAGTTGTGTCTATTCGTCGAGAAAAAGGCCTGAGGATAATTGTACAATGAGAAAGCCCGTCCGCGACGTCCGGTAAGACCCAAGACTGCGCGGGGCCTCTCCTCAAATATTAGCGGAGGATACCGGGGTCTCCCTTTGAACCGGAATCCCCGAAATTTCTATAGCGAATAATCGGAGACAGCTGGCTCGATGCGAAATCAAGTAGCGTAATAATGCCCGAGACTCCACGACAGGGAAAATAAAGCGAGAAAGGAAGTCGCGGCGGTTCCATTGAATTCGAGGACGTTCTCGCGCTCTCTTCCAACGTATGTCAGTTGCGTGGGGGGATTAAATAAAATTTTACTTACAGCGCTCAAGTAATGATATCCCTATAATCTATGGTTTAATTTCGGCATCTTATTATTCTTCTACTATTATCGCATTGTAAAGGTCCCGCTGTACATAACAATAATAATCCCTCAAAATTTTAAAAATCTCTTGGAATATATACATATATTTTTTTTTTTTTTTTGCAATTGTAACAAACGAATTCTCATCCTTTGCAAAAGTTACTTCATTTTATATATCGTTCAGTTTCTAAGAAATTGCTGTCCATCTCGCGGTAACATCCGACGGCGAATACTCGGCTCGACTAATTAAGCGATCTTCTCCGAGCGTAAAATGTTACTCCACTTAGTTCGCAATAAAACTCGCATAAAATAAAGATGGATACCAACACAGTCGAGCATAATTGGGCGGATTGAACAGTAAAATGATATCAAGTTTTTTCGGTCAAACCGGTCGTATCTCAGCGTCGGCAATTAACGCCACGACATGTCGCCCCGTTTTAACACCGGCGAACGAAATGATGCAGGACGCTCGATAAATATGCTAATCACGCACTCTTAAAGGTTTGCCATTCAGCCGCTGTAGATTCGTCAGCTGCTCTCGTAATATTAAATGACAAATTTGACATGTATCCGCAATACGCGAACGAAGATTCCATCCAAAGATTCCATCGTCGAAATTGCGCGATATCGAAACGCGATAGCGATTGTAACAACCATTTAATGAAACTTATTTGACACATTTCTACTACATTTAAAATAAGAGACTTGACACCTTTCTTTTAATCAAAACTATGAGTGCTTATGTAAATGATAAAAGAAGAGAGATAATTATGCTTTTTTAAATGCGATTCAAAATTAATTGTCCATCGACAATAATAGAAAAAATATTAATTTCAATGAGACTTTAAATTAAAACTTTTAAACATTCCATGTTTCAAAGATTTCAAGGTTTCACGGCTTGAAAATTTCACAAATTTCAAAATTCTCTACATCTTCAAGGTTTTGATAGAGACCGTCGACTACTTCTTCATCATTCATGACATATCACAATGTCTTTCATTTTTCAATATTTATTCATATTACGTGTCGTATTGTATCGTCTTTTGGCGTTATGCAACCTCCAATTTCTAATTCTCGATCCAAGGAACCTACGAAATCAGGACGCGATGGCACGGCAGCCATCGAGACGGCTTATCCCGCGGGAGGGAGTATTCCGACGATACAATGAATAAACAACGAAGCCGCGCGCGGTCGAGTGAGCTTGGTGAACGAGACCTTATTGGGATATTAATCGCCGTACCGAGGCGAACGTACAGCTCCGCACCGAGTGTTTGCACGAGATTTGAAGAGGCTGCAACGCGAAAAGCTGCCTTGCCTACCATCGCCCGCCGCGTCTCTCTCACCCCGCGCTTTTAAGGGCAACGAAACACTACAAGACCCCTTCTCCTGGCCGTGCGGTGCTCGAAAGCCCTAAGTACTCGCTCGAATACTCGGATACTTCGGACACACGCTCGAACGTAGGGTACTTAGGTAAGGTAGCACGTAAGTATAGGCGCGAGCAGGCAAACGAATCCTCGAAAATAATAGCCGTCGGTGATACAAAAGAGAGAGAAAGAGAGAACACGCGTATTTATAAAACATGAACGGGGCGAACTAATTGTTCGTTAATTTCCAGTGGCACTCACCGCGCCGTTACTGCTTCGGCGTGCGTTTGTTTGCACCGTGTACGCTGTTTTGGATACACGAATTGTTACGCTCCCCTTCGTGACGATTGTCGAGGCGCTCTCGAATGCTAAATGTTTTTATCGCTATAATACGCCGCGATACATCGCGTAGGTATATATCTGAGTAGTTACAAGAGGAGAAGATGGAGAGAGGTAGATTGTTGTGTTTGTCCAGCGCGCAGATGGACGATGCGGTCGTCGGTTAATCACGTCGTTTGCACCGATAGCTTCTTCTAGATGTGAAAGATGCTCGTCGCGAGATAAATTCGAATTTGATGATTAGCCACTATGGGCGATAAAAAATAAGGTGGCAAAGCGCGATGAACTGTATTAAAACTCTATTACACGAAAAATATAATGTAAATACTGTAAATTTATAAAAGTTGCACTAATGCAGATAAATAATGAGTAGGCTAATGATTTCTGTATTATATATCTGCGATAATTTATTTTGTAAAGATTTACGTTTTCTTCTTCCCCTGTGTCGCGAGATCTTAACATTTCTTGCTAAATTTAAAGCAATAATTAAAATTGAAGAATAAACAATCTGTTCCTTTTTATCAAAAAATAATTTAACCAACAACTAATGCGTTTATTATTTATTTTTCTACGTCTTATTTGAACACATTCCATGATTACTCGCAATATCTCGTTTTCAGCACAAGAGGATAGAAGGCAACGCGAGACGCGACGGGCGTTTTAATCCATTTAGTACTCTTTGGATGCAGAAAAGCGGTACGTATCTTCGTTTTATCCGTCCATGAATTCTGGCTAATTACCGAACCTTTGATCTCATAATCTACCCTTCGATTAATGAACTTTCATGTTCTAGACTTTGAATATGCGTACGCGAATACGTTACGCTCTCTATCACAGACAAGCTATTATTTTATTGTTAAAGATATTCGTTATACGAAAATATATATACATCAATATTATGCTTTCTTATCAACACGTCTTTATGATAACAACAGTAATAATAGCAATAATATATTTTTGGTTTTATATTAATATTTCTATGGAAATTTTTATTTTTATTTGCCAAATAGAATATAAGAATTGATCTAATAAATGATCGATTCAATGACAGATTGAAAAAGGAAGACGATTATTTTTTATATACTAAATGTTATATTATT